TAATTTGATATATAAAAAATGAGCAAAACCCCAAAACCCCAAAACCCCAAAACCCCACTCGCCAGTAATATGTTAAAATTTAAGAAAAATACTTTTCTAATAATACGAAAAAAATATTGTTAAAAATGTCCTATTATTATATGAAATCGAGTAAAAGCTCCTATTTAAGATTACTCATTATTTGCACTCTTCTAATATTAATTAGCTGAGTTAATTCTTTTATCTCAAGTGGCTCAACAACTTTTGATGGTGTTACTCCAGATCTGAACCCTTCATACTACTCATTAGATGGTACTAATGGAATGTAAGCATCCATTGAGTCGAGATCAGCCAATTAGAGCTTAGACTACTATATTTAAACTTGGATAAAAATTAAAACCAATTACAACCAGAATGATTCAGCAAGAAATTAAAGTCTAATATAATTTGGAAACTCATTGAGATGTGACTTTTTCTTCAACAACTCTCTGATTTGCTAGTCGTTTATGCTGCTTAATGGTGTTCAAATTAATTTTGGTAACCTAGCAAATTAACGCCGATCCTCCCTTAGTTTGGATTTAAAAGACTTAGAATTAAACACATGGGTTCATCTTAGCATCGGAGGAAGCATAAGATAAAATTTAACATATCTAAGATTGGATTACCAAGATTAGACATTAAGAAATATTAATGGTACTTATTTAGTTCTTCATCTGAATCAAACTATGTCAAATTTTTCCTTAGGCACTACAAACTCCTCTCGTGATGGATTCATTGGAGATCTCAGAGAGATTTCTATTTTGAACACATTTGTAAACTAAACGAACGTTATAAGAGTTATGCATTAATACTTTACATGGGATTTTATAATCATGGCATACTATAGATTGCAGAAAGGAAATTTATTAGATGACTTCAGACAATACATGAGAATATTTCTGATTTCACCTAAAAACATCACACCAACTTGGAGTAATGATTTTATAGCTAATGATGTATGCTATTCTTTCTTTTCAGTTTCACCTCTTTTAAGGATCAATTCAACTTAAATGTCTGCTGTAAATACAACCATTGATCCTAGAATGAGTAATTCACTTTCTGCTTATTTATATTCCGTTTCTATTTGGATGAGACCAATGCCTGGAATAATTACAAATTAAACCTACAATTCTTCATAAGCATTCTTGACTTTGAATGGTTCCTTTAGTGTTTGGTTTTCTGACCCCAATTACATAAGAGTAATGATATTTTCAACTGTAGCCTCGGCTTTTAAGATTACTAATTCTATTTTTATCCCATACAATTAATGGTCTAACCTCTAATTTGTCATTGATAGAAACGGCAATAGTTTTGAGGCTAAAGTATATGATCTCTAGAGAAGAGTGATGAGTGAAATGACTCAGAGTTTAACCTTATCAAATTAATCACCAACAAGAGTATTTACTTTGTTTAATAATTACTTTGGATACATCAAATCAGTAATGGTTTACTAAAGCAGGAAAGCATTTCCAATGAGTGCAGTTGCTGGTCCATCCACGATTGTTGCTGATAACAATTTAATCGTTTACTATAAATTTGATGAGCATAATTTCAGAACTTCTTAATTGCTTGCTCTAAATAACAATACCTTCAATGTTACTGGCTCAAATATTACTTTTAACAATAATACTCTTTAATTTGATGGTGTATTTTGGGAGGAGAATCTTAACTATACAAATACAAGTAATCTTGGTACTATAAATTAGACTATCAATTTATATGACGGTCTAGCTTGCAACGATTCTAGACTACTTTACAATTTTTAGAATAAAACATCTTACCTAAGTTATTAAGTCTAAAGCTTAAATGAAGATATGTATGAGGGCACTGTAGAATTATGGTTTAGAAAATCCTAATATACAGCAGAGAAGAATTATTTATTGTCAATTTATTCAGATAAATCTAACTAGGAGTACTTTAGTCTTTACTAAAATGATAACAAAACAGAATTAACTTGTAAGCCTAGTCAATCAACTGATATTGAGTTTAACTATAGAGGTTATATGCCAATAGTCTCAGGCTGGTAGCATATTGCTTGCAAATATCAATCACATTAAATAGTTACTGGACTATATACAAACTAAATAAATGAGCAGTTTTAGGATACAGTAAACGCTTTCAATAAGCTAATAGTAATACCAAAGGGAACATATAAATTAATAGTTGGAAATAATTATGAACTAAACAGGGGCTAGGTCGGTACTCTAATTAAGGAGGTAAGACTTTGGTCAGTATTTAGAAGTGATTACGATATTATTTAATCAAGATTTAGACAGCTAGGCCAAACTTAATAAACAGGAATCATAGCATATTTCAGATTGAACTCTGGAGATACCGAGATATATAACTATGCTGCTTCAAGTTAGATTAATACGATTACTACTAAAAATGGCTTGACTTTAATTCAAGATTAATCAGTTCATTTAGTATGTCCATTGAATAGCTACTTTAATAACTTGACCAAAGAATGTCAAAGAAATCCATTTATTGAATAAAATATTGTTGTTTTGCCAAAATTTGGTATAAACAAAACGATTGATGTTTACCTAACATCTAATTATAGTAATCTGCATAGTACTGTTAGCATTGACTAACTTAAGTATGAATGGACTATGGTAAATAATACATCAAAATACCCTATTTCAAATTTAGATAGCTCTTAAGAAACCCTAACAATTAGAAATGTATCCAACATGACTGGAAATCAAAGCTATATTTATAATCAAAAGATATTTGGCCAGTCAAATTCTTTCATTCAGGAAAAGTAAACCTCACTGCTGTTTAACAATTGCTCAATCGTTGTTGATAATAATACTAATTAAACAGTGACCAGATTAGATTACTACGATATTATGCCTGGCCAGCAAGATATTACTATCACTATTAAGGATCTAAACATGACAATATGCAACAACTTGGAGAGAAATCAAAGCTTACACTAGTTTTTAAGCTATAATGTGTTCCCCATCTCATCATTTGTGGATTTAATAGTTTACAATTTCAACCAAACACAAGGAATATTCAATGTAACTATATAAAAGTAGTAGTAAAATAGCTGGGTAATGGACTCAAGGATATATTTTCAATTAAGAGTGTTTTGGAATGTTACGGAACGATCTAGTGATGGTACTATCATTACTTACTCTGTCTATTAAGACCTGATATATATAATTAATTTCTAGAAGCCCATCAGCCCTAAAATTTCAGCTTCACCTTCATTTAATGTGCTTCTAAGTGAGAACGTTACTTTAGATCCCTCACTTTCGTATTATATGAAAACTTCATCATAAATTGAAAGGAGTGCACTATCATTCTAATGGACTTGCCCCTTGGTATTCTAGCAAGTATGTCTTGGAAGAACTAAAAATAAATTTTTGAGCTTATCATATCAAGATTTTGCTCAGTTTAATGCTCTTTTTAATAATCCTTATGATTTTAAATTAACTAGTTGGAAATCTACAGACTAAGATTCTTCATTTAACTATACCACATCAATTCCTGTAATTTTCCTTGACTATTTAAGACCAAAATTTAAAATGATTATCGTAGGAAGAGATTAACTACTAGCCACTTAAAATAATACATTGCAACTAAATTTACAAAATTATGATTTCAATTATAAATCTCTAAGCGTGTCATGGTCAGTTGATTCAAAGATAGATGCTAAGTACCTTAGCTTCACAAAAAATAATACAATCCTAGTAATAGGGAAAGGAGCTCTGAATAACAACACTGACTACTAATTTAATATTACAGTAGTTAATTAAGACTACATAGAGGCATAAAGAACTATTTCATAATCATATAGGACCGGGATTCCACCTCTAAATGGTTCAGTAGCGATTAATCAATCAGAAGGATTTTCATTTTATACAAACTTCTCATTATCGATCGCTAATTGGTCTAGCAATAATTTGCCAATAAAATATAGAGTATTTGGGATTTTCAACAAAAGCAACTAGAGTTATCCTATAACTTAAGACTATGTACTAAGTAATTAGAACTTTACTACTCAGCTACCAGGAATATAAAGACTTATATTTGAAGTTACAGATGCATCAAATGAGATTCAGACGTTATCTCTCAATGTAACAATGAAAAATTTAACCACTCAAACAGTTTAAGACGCTTTGTCATTTTACCTTTAATAAAATCAAGAGTCGATGTTGTAAAACTTTTAGTTAATTTGCTATTAGTTACTATAAAATGATTCAATTCCTATGAGTTAAATTTTAGATGGTTAGATGACCATGCTAAATGCAATTGACAGTATTACCTCTTAATACACAAGTATTTTAGATAATGATGATATATCTCTACAATCTGTAAAAAATGTATCAATCATAATGAATATCCTCAACATGATCACTAATATTTCTTACCCAACCAATGATACTCATATTTTAAAGTCTCTTAAGATTCTTAAATAGCTAAAAATAAAAAATTAGACATTTATTTATCTGATGAATTCACCCTAATTTGTTAATGACTATCTGGCATCTATCAGTAATATGATTATATATACTGAGAGTAGATCTTAAGATTTCAAGGTTATATCAACTTTGAGACAATTATAATCTGAGAAAAATTATAGGATGCTGCAGATATCAAATGCTACTACATATTTTCTAACAATGACTTAAATACGAAATTTTATGAAAGACTTAATATCCTAACAGAAAGCATTTCCAAATTAATATTGTGATGCTCTTGTATAAGAGAATTAACAAACTAAATATTTATTCTAAAGCAATTCATTCTAGTTTGTTATTGAACAGATTCCAGCATATCAGTTTGTAATTAATAGAACTTATATTAATCCAAGATAAGATACTTAAGTCAGTCTACCAATTAAACAATTAATAGCTAAATCCCAAAAAAGCGAATTTAGTGATCTTTGTATATAAGTTACTTATGGATATTTTAACCCTTTGATTGGCCAAACTTTTATAAATCAAACAATTAGTACTGAAAACAGCATGGTAGAAATTAGCACACTTGATAACTTAGGCAATAGACTATTAGATTCTTCTAAAACATTATAAGGTGAATTAACAAATGGAACTAATAGAAATTCAATTTTCAACATCACTTTTGATTTTAAGTTTGAGGAAGAGAAATTTAACTTCAAGAATAATTAAACAGTATGCATGCACATTAGAAATGATTATTAAGATTACTCCAAAACAGATTGGACTTGGGATTAATGTGAGACCATTTATTTGAAAGATAAGAATTAGATACTTTGTTAATGCTCCTCATTAGGACTGTAATTCTTTGCGATTGGAAATGATTATAATAGAATCTTAGTATTAGAACCCAAATCTCTCCTTGAAAAGCTCTTCGATTATTTCATGAAATTTGATCTATCAATCTTAGCTATAGTTTTTTGCATTATTTTCCTTATTCTTTTAATGCCTTTTGTTGCAATATGCCTTGATAAGAGTGATTATGCTGACTTAAAAACAAATAAATTTGTAATAACTGATGAATTTTTGAGAAAAATTGCTCAGAAAAAGAATCTACCTTATTAATCAGTTATATATAGCAAATCAAGATATGATAGTTATCTATAAATAGAACAATTAGATTGCTGGTAGCTATATAAAATCTTTATATGCGAAATCCATCCTTTCTTTAACATTTTTTACAAATTCGACTTTGAGTTGAAGAGACTAATAAGATTGATGTTCCTTACTTTTTAGGTTTGTACTGTCGCGATTATTTGTGGTCTAGTATTTGGAACCACCTACCGAGTTGATGAATAGGATGAAGAAAAAAGGTCATTACATCTAGATACCACTGATGAACAAAATGGCATAATAGCTGGTGCTATCTTAGGAGTTTTGCTATTCCCTACAATTGGCTGTCTTATTAATAATTGCAGAAGTAAACTCGTTTATGCAAGCAAAACTAAAAAAGGAGAAAAAGTAGAAGGAGAGTAGCAAACAGATAATGATATAGTAAGAAGTAGATTGAAAAATAAAAAGCAACCGCAAACTTTGCAAAAATCTAAGAAAAAAAGTGACAATGATGATGAGGACTTTGAAAACATTAATGATATAGAAGATGGTAAAAATTAACATACAGTAGAGAGATTAAGATATAAGGAGGATCCCTCCCAGCATGATAAAAGTTATCTATATAGAGAGGATCATACAAGCATATAAATAAATTCCATAACAATTGAAGAGACTGTTGTAGCAGTTGATAAATGTCTCTGCTGTAAGGTCTTTATGCTTATACTTTGTGGCATCTACTCTATTCTTGCAATGATAGCTGTTTGCTTGGAAAGTGGAGCAAATCCAAAAGCACACTCTCTAACTATGATTATAGCTTTTTGGACTGCAGTTTTAGTTAGCTTTTTCATATATAATATGGTGCTCATAATGTTTACTGCAAAAATAACTCCTGGCTATATAAAATCTGAGCTTGACTACGATGGTGATGTGCCATACTATTACAAATTCTTAGGATTTTTATTTGTACCTGATGATGCCAAAAATATAATGAGAGACATGTTCCTTATTTACGAATTAAATAGTTTAGAATAATAGTAGAATTAGTAAATGAACTAAAGTATCAGAAAGGATCCTTAGGAGAAGCCAGTCTAAGCTCGTAGCAACATGCTTATGAACTAAAAGGCAAGTTAAGTTGCAGCTGAAACTAAGACACAAGAATAACAAGAAATAAAAAAACCAAAGAGCTCTAAATAACAAAGATTCGCTGATGGTCCTCTTGATATATCATCGAAATAACTATCACAGAGATAAAACATTAAATAATTAGATTCATCAGATGGAAGTTCATCGAAGAAGGAGAAGTAAGGAGCAAAGACTCATAAGAGTATCGGCCGATACGTGGAGGATTCATCTATGGATATGAAAAACTCAGATGATGAAGATTAAAAATTATGAAGAAGAAAATATATATGACTAATATAGAAAATTAAAAGCCTATTTTTCAGTTTTAATTAAATTCATATTTTGAACTTTCAAATACTTTCTATTTTATAAGTAAGGGGTTTTGGGGTTTTGGGGTTTTGGGG